GTAGTTCCAGGTGCTTGTTAGAACCTTCGAACTAATGCCAAAATAAATATCTTTCAATTATAAAAAAAAAGGTTAACATTTAATATTTTGCATTTTTTTTAAAAAAAATCATATATCAGCATGAAGTAGCACATGAAGGCGAAACTGGTAAAGTTTCTAAAGCAAACTTTAATGACCGGAAAGATAGGACTGTCCTTATAATGAGGCCTGGTCTGCAGGTTTGTCTTATTTATTTAATGTTATAAAGATAGATTTTACCTTCTCATCGTCATCATATAACTTAACCAATTTCTAGTGCAGAACACCACATCACCTGAGGGTAATATCCGTCACCTTGTTTATCTATTGGAGAACGCCATACTGAACCTCCCTGAGGGACAAGAGCAAATGTCATGGCTCATAGACTTCAATGGCTGGTCTTTAAATACCAATGTCCCGATTAAAACAGCCAGAGATATCATCCACATTTTACAGAATCATTATCCTGAGAGGCTTGCTGTGGTTGTACTCTACAGCCCGCCAAGAATATTCGAGGCATTTTGGAAGGTATTCTCTTCTGCCTGTCTTGTGCTTCGTCCAATGAATGTCGTTCTCCGTTTTCTTCAGTTTTACCTTTTAATTTAAAATCTTCATTTTTGATTGTGTTTACTCTTGACTCATAGATTTTGATGAGAAATTTGGAAAATTGCCACATTTTGTCGTTATGTTTGTAAAAACAGAAATTCGCTAAATAAGTATAAATGTGACAGGGAGGTGTTCGTAAAGTCTACTTCTGATACAACAAGTGCTTTCTTTTCCCATTAACCTCGTTTTGGAATGAATGCAGGTAGTGAAGTACTTTGTGGATCAGAAAACCTTTCAGAAAATAAAGTTCGTATACCCGAATAACAAGGAGAGTTTGGAGGTCATGAAGAGCTTTTTCAACACAGAGAATCTCCCAAGCGAGTTTGGCGGGAAAGGTACACTGAAATACGATCATGAAGAATTTTCGAGACTGATGGCACAGGATGATGTCAAAACTGCCAAGTTTTGGGGGTCGGATCAAAGCAATGAGTGTGACAGTAAGGACTATTCAGAATCAAAGGTTGAGAGTGTACAAGTTGGAAAAACTTAATTAGATTAATACTACAGGCAAATGCTACGGTCCCGTTACGGAATCATTCCATCGAAGTTTGTAACCGTTAGATCAACTATCCTCGCCGATTACATGATGATCTAGCTGTTACAAACCCCGACGGAATGGTTCCGTAACGGGGGACCGTAGCATCTCCCAATACTATATACTTCTTAAGATGCCCCAATAAGTAAGTAAGGTGGATAACACTTGGAGTGAACAAAATGGTATCTTGGATTCTTGTTTTAAGATGATTATCAAATAAAAATTTTATCTTCTAAAAAGTTTTAAAATTATAAAAGCCACCTTCAGTCCAATGGGAATATATTGATTATTGAATGAATTCTCAGATATTAAGAATATTACTTTTCCTTTCTTCTTGTATATATACTATGGGAAGTAGTCGACTAAGATGCCTCTGTCTGGTGGTAAAACAAAAAAGTTGATGATAATAATCCTGTCCAATTGTTAATACCAATAACTAAATAATAATTAGGTTCGATTACCATAAATATGTTAATTTATTTATGATCATTTTAGATATATTAATTGTATCTAATATCGTTTCCTCTTATAACAATTGAACTAGTACGAATCCCGTGCGATACACGGTAAAAGATATCCATTAATATTTATAAATTAAAATTTCTTATTAAATAATATTTACAAATTAAAGATATAGAATTTTGTAATGCAATTTTGCATTTACGTATAATATTTTATTGAAAATGTTATATAAAATTTAAATTGTGCAAAATTATATAAAACATGTCTATTTAAAAACAATGAATTAAAAAAAAAAAAAGAATTCAAAATGATAAATTATTATCACCTCCTCACCATGAAACATAGTTTCTAAGTAATTTTTGTACTCAACAACAACTTTATTTTCAATTATTCGAATTGTTCGCGCAACTTCATTGGTAGTTTCTTGGTCTAGTGACTTTTTGATCAAATTGAATTCGCACTTCATCCTTAATTGAATAGAAGATAAAATCGGATAGTTGAATATTAAAAATAAAGTCAAACGAAGGATATCTACATGGTTGAAAAATAACTGAATTTATAGGGGAATAATAAAGTATAAGTTAGTTAAATACCATAAATATTTAATATGAAAATATATAAAAACTGCAATAAATATATTTAAAAATTTTACAAATCCTTTTGTCCAATAATTATGTAATGTTACTGTAAAAATATTACTTTGTTTGCCATTTATATTTTTGGTTAACCATTAATTAAACTCTCATTTAATTTTAATACAGTATATTTTTATTGGACAAAATTCAATTTAAAAATATTATTTTCTTGATCAATTGAGATGAATCCTATGTTGGAACCCACGAGGATCTCGATATGCACATATCACAGACAAACATTCAACATA